TTTTTTGTTTATTATAGTTTTGTCATGTGATATATGTCAATAAAATTTTCTTTCAAATATTATTTATTTGTTAATAAATTAATAATTATTTTAAGTCATCAATGAATAATTATATAATTGTTAAATTCATAAGTTTGGCTAAATCAACACAGAAATATTGTGGAAATAAATATTTTTTTACATAAAGATACGATTTTTGACATTTGCATTTTATTTCAAATTAATTATAACTGTCAAAATATTTTCTTTTCGGTCAAAATTTTATATAATATGATATAATATTTAGTTTGTCTAGATTGTTTTTATCAGACTCCAATGATACCCTCAGATTGTACTATTTAAGAGGTTACAATTTCCTGTAAAATTAGCATTTGCGATGACAATCAAAATATATCTTAACTGATATATTAATAATAATATTATATTTTAATTACACAAATTTCTTTACACTTCGATATATAATTCCAACGCATCTTAGTGTTTTATTTATTTTAATTTTGTTTATGTCAATTTTTTAAAATTAAATAATAAATTAAATTTTAGTCTAAATCAACGCAGTATCTTTATCTAAATACATAATTTTTTATATAAATATTTGATTTTTTAACTTTCCGTAGGGTAAGTTATTGTAATGGGCCGAAAATCGGAATTAAAAATTTTTACATTTCTCGACGTTTTAAAGGTTTCTGAACGTTTTGGCATACCTCAGAAAAAATGGATGTGTGTGTGTGTATGTATGTATGAATACAAATTTCCAGTCACGTTTTAGGGCGCACGGATCAACCGATTTGAATGGTTCAAAATACATTCGATTCCTATTGATAGGGAAAAGAGCTGATTAGTTTTTGGCAAAGGCAGGTCCAGCCGTTTCGGAGATACGGAGCAAAAAGTGCAGAAAATAGAAATCGAATTTTCGAGAGAACGGAGTATCCGATTTGAATGATCTAAAAAACATTGAATTAGTAATGATTGGGAGAAGTGTTTAGTAGTTTTTGGCAAAGGCAGGCCCAGCCATTTTGAAGATACGGAGCTAAATATGTAAAAAATGGCAGTTTTTGAGAGAACTAAGCGTCCGATTTAAATGATTCAAAGAACTTTCTGCTTGTCTTAACAAAAAAAATTGATTTTGGAAAAAAAAATTGTCCCAATATTTTTTCCTTTTTTTTTTTTTTTTTTAGTTTTTTGTATATCGAAAATATTTCAGATTTTATTTTTAATTCTGACTATAGTTCTAATATACTTCACAAATAATTTCAACTCTGCAATTCAGTTTATATAATTCTTATACATATTAGACAATGTTACAATATTTATAATAATCTATTTTAAAACATTCAGTAATCCTCGAACATTTCATTACGGTACGGGAAGTTCTAGCAATTTGCCTTAAGGCACGATGCCACCCACCCCACTAGTTACATTTGCATTTAATTGAAAAATAGTGAATGTCAATTTCATATATCCAATATGCACTAAATGTATAAATGTCAAAATATTTCCTTCTTGGTCCTAAATTAATATAATTTGATAATATTTATTTTACAATAATGTTTTGTATCTATAATTTGCTTGGCAATATTGCCTACAACATAACTTGGAATAATTAATTCATTTGCTTCTTATTGAAGTAAGCCGTTAAACATTTTTTTGTGAAATGTCAAAATTTTGTTTATGATTAATTTTAAATTCAATATGCCGCTTTTTTATTGTGATCTCTGATCTATAATGTTTTGATGAAGTTTTGGTTTCCAAAATAATTTGGTGAGCTAATCAATTAAATTATATAATTATTTTCATAAATATTGACAAATGACATTTAATTTTTTTACATGCCAACATTTATTTAAATTTTTAAGCATTGATTTTTAATTAGATTTAAAACTATAAACAGTGATTTTGAATTTAGCATTTCATCAAATTTTGATTTAAATGTTGGATATTTCTATATATGTACATGTTTCTGAATTTTATTTTTTAAGGCACTTTTTTTTCAAAAATTATCGAAATTTCCTTAAATTTTGACATTTGTCATTTTAGTGTTGTTTTTTTGGTCATTTTCTGTCAAAATTTTTAGAAATTAATAAAAATTTTATATTTATATTTCAAATTTACTTTTCAAAATTTCCTTTAACCTAAGTTGGATATATATGCACACGATGAGCCAATAAAATTTAAAATCGGTTCAGTAGTTTGGACGTCCATCGCGAACCAACATCGTGACACGAGATTTATATTATATTATATATATATATATATATATATATATCGATCTATTCACATAAAATCTATAAACCCTTCAATGCAGTTCACTCCATCGATCGCTCCACCGTATAACAAATTCCATTTCCTAAAACATTCCGTAAACGAATTTTCATAGACGCCTCTCGTGCGACACAAGTTAATAAATATTAAAATACATTTTAAATTGGAAAATCTCGTAAAATCGTTTCTCCACAACACATTTTCACTATATAAAAGTATAGAAAATCATATTTTTGATGTCGCCATTATACTTTACTCCTTTACTCGTACTCCTCTACTCCTCCACCGTTCTTCGAAGCAAGAAACGTTAAAGAGGGCGACGACAGCGCCACCGGCGGCCGTAATATCAGTTGTCAATAAAAAATTTAATATCGTATTGTGTGAACCATGTGCGTGCGAGATAAATTTATAAAAAAGTTGATGGGAAAACGATATTTACACATGTGGAGAGGAATAAAATGTCTGGTTATTAACTTTCTTGAAGTGGATATTTATGGTTTTATTTGCGGTGGAGTGTTGTGAAGTTTGGGTGTGGGTTGACTAATTATTGAACACTGTATTTGATATTTATTGTTAGAATGTTTAGAAACTTGATAGGTTTTGTGAAGTTCGGTAGAAAATTTGTGCGATTTGTGCACCAGAATTTCTGCGAGACTCAGTAAAAAATCGAGACTTTGTAGAATTTTTGTGAGAATTCTTAGATTTTTACGAGGAATCTTAAATTTTTGTGAGGCTTTGTAAATTTTTGTAAAGTTTTGTAAGTTTTTGTGAGACTCTAGATTTTTGTGGTACTTTCTAAATTTTAAAATTCTTTTGGAACTTTCTACATTTTTAAATTCTTGTGGGACTTAGAAAAGAATTAGAAAATTTGTGAGGCTCGAAATAATTTTTGGAGACCTTAAAGAATTTTTAGGAGGCCTGAAACAATTTTTAGGAGGCCCGAAGGAATGTTTTCGAGGCCCGAAGGAATGTTTTCGAGGCCCGAAGAAATGTTTCGGAGGCCCGAAGGAATGTTTTCGAGATGCAAAGAATTTTTTTTGAGACTCTGTAAAATATTTGCTAGACTTCTTGAATTTTTGTGAGGCTTCTTGAATTTTTGTGATGTTTTGTAAATTTTTGGTGAGGCTTTGTAAATTTTTGAAAAACTTTCTATATTTTTGTGAGGCTTCTTAAATTTTCATGAAACTCGATTTTTTTTGTAAATATATTTGTGAAACTTTTTAGACTTTTGTGAAAGTTCGTAGATTTTTGTGCGAGTTTGTAGATTTTTGTAAAACTTCTCAAATTTTTGTGAGGTTTTTCCAGTTTATGTGAGACTTATTAGATTTTTATAAGACTTGTTAGATTTGTTAGTGAGGATTCATAGATTTTTGTGAGGATTCTTAGATTTCTGTAAGGTTTTGTAATTTTTGAGACTGCAAATTTTAATTTTTGTGAGGTTTCTTAACTTTTTGTGAGATTCGATTTTTTTTATTGTAATTATATATTTGTGAGACTTTCTAGATTTTTGTGAAACTTTTTAACTTGTTGTGAGGCATTTTAAATTTTTGTAAGGCTTTGTAAATGATTGTGAAGCTTTGCAAAAGACATAGAGACATATTAAATTTTTGAGACATCTTAAATTTTTGTGAAGTTTTTTAAATTTTAAGGGAATCATTTTTTTTTTTTTTGAAAATAAATATTTGTGATACTTTCTAGATTTTTGTAAGACTTCTTAAATTTATGCTATTTTTGGATTGTTCCTAGAGATTTTATGAATTTTATGAGACTCGTTTTTTTTTTCAAATATATATTTGTGAGAGGCTTTGTAGATTTTTATGAGGCTTTGTAGATTTTTGTGAGGTTTTGTAAATTTTTGTGAGGCTTTGTAAATTTTTGTGAGACTTTGTAAATTTTTGTGAGACTTTCTACATTTTTAAATTCTTGTGAGCGTTTGTACTATAAATTCTAATAAGGCTTTGTATTCGCATAAGTATTTGTAAATTTGTTTGAGGCTTTGAAAATTTGTTCGAGGCTTTGAAAATTTGTTCGAGGCTTTGAAATTTTTTGTGAGGTTTTCTAGATTTTTGTGAGGATTATTAAATTTTGGTGAGGCTTCAACATTTCTGTGAGGTATTTTAGATTTTTTGTCAGTTTTTTTTTATTAATTTTTGTGAGGTTTTTTAAATGTTTTGTGAGGTTTTTTAATTTTTTTGTGAAGCTTTGTCAAGCTTTTTAAATTTTTGTCAGGACTTGTACATTTTCGTGAGACTTCTTAAATTTTTGTGATACTTCTTAAATTTTTGTGAGACTTTTGAAAATTTTGTGATGGATTTGAAACTTTTGTGATACTTTTGAAATATTTGTGATGCTTTTGAAATTTTTGTGATGCTTTTTAAATTTTTGTGAAACTTTTAAAATTCATGTTAGACTATTTAAATTCTTATTAGACTTTCTAGACTTTTATGAGACTTTCTAGACTTTTATGAGATTTTCTGAATTCTTGTAAAACTCTGTAAATTTTTGTGAGACTTTTTAAATTTTTGTGAGACAGATTTTTGTGAGACATTTAACAACAGACACAAAAGTAATAAATTTGACAATATACAAAATTTTAAATTAAATTTTATAAATTTTACCAATTAAGATTATTAAAAAAAGGTTACAGATGATGTAGAATTTCGCTTACAAAATTATATATATATACAGAAAATTCATTTAAATTAAAAAAATAACTTACTATGTATATTTTTACTTACTTTGCCGAAATTACTCAGGCCTCCAATATGTGGGACACGTCCTGGCTCATCAGCTAAACAGCAATCAGCCCTAAAATTAAAAAAAAAACAATAATATAACTCAGTAAAATTCTAATAATTTGTAAAACATCATCAATGAAAGAAGTTCAATAAAAACAACTTACATGAAAAAAAATGCAAAATCATAAAAAAAAATCCTGAAAAATTATCACACTTTTTCTAATTGTAATTTTTTCGATTTTTTTTTCCAATATTTATTTTTTCTAATTTTATTTTTTTTTTAATTTTATTTTTTTCTAATTTTAAATTTTATAATTTTAAATTTTCATAATTTTAAATTTTTATAATTTTAATTTTTTATAATTTTAAATTTTTATAATTTTAATTTCTTATAATTTAAATTTTGTCTAATTTAAATTTCTTTCTCATTTTAATTTTGTAAAATAAAATTCAAAATTCATAAATAAAATAAATAACGATTAAAATTAGAAAAAAAAACACTTACCATGGAGTGTTGCACGTATGTGTCAACGTCAAATATCGAACTCCAAGATCATAAAACGATCTCAAAACTCCCAAACTATTTCCAATGGAATGACCACCTTCCACTCCAATTAAAGAACCAAGAAACCCCAAACGATGGGCTTCTTCAATACCTAAAAACAAAAAAAAAACTTTAAATAAATCTATAACAATTGTAACGTAAAATGGAGATTACTCCACCGCATCTCAATCTGTATATCAATTTCAAATAACAACAAACAAACAAATATTTTTTACTATCGACATGTAAAACGGTGGAGACTGCTCCACCTTCTATTACCTTTTTCCCTAAATGATAATTAATTGCTCTCGTTTTTCGACCCGGAGATTTTTATGAAAAAAGGTAAAAGATATCTCAAGGACGTCTCAACCGATTCTTTTGATGATGACACAGAAATTGCGATCGTCCTTTTTTTCGTTTCGTTCACGCCTCAAAAGATTTTTCATTCAAAAGGATAATTTGAAAAAGAAGGGAAAATATGAAAAGGACACTCAGTTGCGGTACGCGGATTCTTTGAAAGGATGTTTTAATAAACTCTTGATGTTTTCTTACGAATGACAAATATGTTGAAAATTTTGGGTAATGGAAAGGTAGAGATAAATATATAAATATATAAATATATATATATATATATATATATATATATATATAATTAAGGACATGTACTTTACGAGAGAGATCAAAGCAAGGATAAAAAGCAGCAAGGGCTTTTTTATGAAAAACGACACAACTAACGAGCAAACTGAGTTTTATTTTTCTGGGTCAACAAATTTAGTAGTTATGAAGATTTTTGTTAAATGTTGTGAGACGTGGTAGATTTTAGTAGAAATTTAAGATATTTTGTAAATATTTAGGATACTTTGTATATTTTTGAAAAAGTTTATAGATTTTTGTGAGACTTTGTTGAATTTTGTGAGACTTTTTTAAATTTTATGAGAGTTTTTTAAATTTTATGAGACTTTTTTAAATTTTAAGAGACTTCTAAATTTTATGAGACTTTTTTAAATTTTATGAGACTTTTTTAAATTTTATGAGACTTTTTTAAATTTTATGAGACTTTTTACATTTTATGAGACTTTGGTGAATTTTGTGAGGTTTTGCAGTGTTTTGTGAGGCATTTAAGATTTTTGTGAGGCTTTGTTGAATTGTGTGAGTCTTGATCGTTTTTTTGTGAGAATTTGTAGATTTTAGTAAAATACTTTAGTTTTTTGCAAGATATTTTTAATTTTGTAAAATGTAGAATTTTGTAAGACGTTGCAATTTTGTAAAAGCCTTAATAGATTTTTGTGAGTCTTGTTAGATTTTTTTTGTGAGACGTTATAGATTTTTGTGAGACGTTATAGATTTTTGTAAAACCTTGTTAATGACTGTAAGACTATGTAGATTACTGTGAGACGTTATAGACTTTTGTGAGATTTGTTAGTTTCCTTTGTGAGGCTTTATAGTTTTTTATGAGGTTTGATAGTTTTTAGTGAGATCTTTTAGTTTTCTGTATTTTTGTGAGATTTGGTAGATTTTGGTGAGATTTGCTAAAATTATTTGTCAAACTTGCTAGAATTTCTTGAGTGAGTCTTGAACAAATTTTGTGAGAATTTGTATATTGTTGTGAAACACTGTAGTTTTTTGTAAGATATTTTTAATTTTGTAAGATGTAAAATTTTGTAAAACGTTGCAATTTTGTAAAAACTTTAGTAGATTTTTGTAAGACTTTGTGGTTTACTATGAGACGATGTAGATTTTTGTGAGACTATGTGATTTACTGTAAGACGTTATAGATTTTTGTGAGAATATGTAAATTATTGTGAGACGTTGTAAATTTTTGTGAGATTTAGTACTTGTTTTTTGTGAGGCGTAAAAAATGTTTGTGGGACATGGTAGAATTTTGTGAGATTTACTTGATTTTTATGAGACTTTGTTAATTTTTATGAGACCTTGTAAATTACTGTAATATTTTGTGGTTGACTGTGAGACGTTGTAGATTTTTGTAAAATTTGGTAGATTATTTTGTGAGACTTCATAGTTTCTTATGATTTTTAAGAGAATTTAGTGAGAATTTTTAGTCTTTTGTATTTTTGTAAGACTTGGTACACTTTTGTGAGAAACTATACTTTTAAGTGAGACATTTTTAATTTTGTAAGATCCATCATTTTCTAAAACGTTGCAATATAGTAAAAACCTTAGTAGATTTTTGTAAGTCTTGGTAGTTTTTTTGTGAGACGTTGTAAATTTTTGTGAGATATAATAAATTATTTTAAGACCTTGTGGTTTACTGTGAGATGTTGTAGACTTTTGTAAGATTTTTCAGAGACTTTGTAGATTTATAAGAGGCTTTGTAGATTTTTAAGGGGCTTTGTAGATTTTTAAGCGGCTTTGTAGATTTACAAAAGACTTAGTAGATTTTTGTGAGACTTGGTAGATTTTTAAAAGTCTTTGTAGATTTTCAAAATATTGTCTATATTTTTGTGAGACTTTCTAAAAATTAGTGAGGCTTTTTAGAATTTCCTTAGACGTAAATGATTTTGCGAGGATTGGTGGAATTTTGTGAGGCTGGGTTGGGTTTTGTGAGGTCTTAAAAATAATTTATATAGCCTTGAATATTTTTAAAAAGTCTTACAGATAGTTATGAAGCCTTGCAGATATTTGAGATCCCAAAAATCTACAAGGCCTTTCAAAAATCTGCAAGGCCTTCCAAAAATCTGCAAGGTCTCCCAAAATAACCTGCAAGTTCTCACAAAAATCTCAAGGCCTCACAGAAATCTGCAAAGCTTTCCAAAAATCTGTGAACCTCTCCCACAAAACCTGCAAGGCCTCCCATAAATATGCAAAGCTTTATAAATGTCTACAAGACCTCAAAAAATGCTGCAAGGCCTCCGAAAAAGGTTCAAGGACCCCAAAAATCTGCAAGGTCTCATAAAAATTTGCAAAACCTTCCTAAAAATCTGCAAGGATTCATACAAATATGTTGAAAATTTGTCACTAAAATTATAATTTTATAGTTCACTTTTAATTTGATTTTTAGGTGACAAAAATATTCACGCCTCCACCGTATTTTGTAAAACCATTTCGGCGTATTTTTAACAATCCGTATTTCCTTTCAAATAAAAAGCTCATAAAATAAAAATTCCGTTCGCAATATCTGGCTTCGACTATATACCGATTTTTTTATTTTTTTCTATCCATTTTTATTCTACAAACTATTGGAAATTATTGGAAGCAATTAAAACAGAGTTATTTCACCATCGACGGATAAAAATATGACGGAGGCCATTTATGCAAATCTTTTTGCGAATATGAAGTCTGCTGTTAAAATGCAATAATTTCAATTTCATAAATGAATATTCATTTATTCAATTGCAGCAGATTTTAAATCGACATTGGTGGTGATAATATAAAATCACTTTTGAATAAGCTACATATAGACATCCGTGCAAAAACTTTAAAAAATCGGAGTCCATAAATCCATTTCCAGAGTGGACTATACAAAATCCTCATTCTCTACCTTAGATTTATGTTATGTTTTTGTCTCCACCGGTGTAAACTTATTATCTCGGTGTTTTTCCTCAATCAAGATATTCCGGTGGAGGATTCGAAAAACTAGAAAATCTCTTCTAAAGAAAGTCCTTCTCTTCTACGATGGCGATTTCGATGACTTTGTTTTGTGGACGACTTAGTTTGTTATCTGGATAAAAGTTCTATTTCTTTTGTACAAAGACAAAATGAGTTTGTGAAACAAACGGTGGAGATGTAGATGGTTGTGGTTCATTGTGTATTTAAATTCGTTTAGGAGAGAATTTAATTCAAGAGAAGTTATAGAGGTGATGGAATTGAATTAAGATAGTTGAAAATTAAGATAGTTTTGGATTTTTTTTTAAATGAGTTGTGCGCAATTTTTTTTATTTTTAAAATCTATACGACAAAAGTCTATAAAATATCATAAAAAGCTAGAGATTCTAAAAAGTTTCAGAATCATCTAAAAAGTTTCAGAAATATCAAAAAAGTTTCAGAAATATCTACAAAGTTTCAGAAATATCTATAAAGTTTCAGAAATATCGACAAAGTTTCAGAAATATTTTTTAAGACTATAAATATTTCTGAGTTTTTATAAATATTTCTGAGTCTTCATAAATATTTTAAAAACTCAGAAATATTTATAAAGACTCAGAAATATCTACAAAGACTCAGAAATATCTACAAAGACTCAGAAATATCTACAAAGACTCAGAAATATCTACAAAGACTCAGAAATATCTACAAAGACTCAGAAATATCTACAAAGACTCAGAAATATCTACAAAGACTCAGAAATATCTACAAAGACTCAGAAATATCTACAAAGACTCAGAAATATCTACAAAGACTCAGAAATATCTACAAAGACTCACAAATGTTTACAAAGATTTACAAATATCTCCAAGGCCTCCCAAGTATTTTCAAAACCTTCCAAATATATCTGAGGTCTCACAAAGATCTTGGAGGCCTCACAAAAATTTTGGAGGCTTCATAAAAATCTTGGAGGCTTCATAAAA